CGTAGGTTAAATAGTAAGGTAGACTGTGCTATCTAGCCTTGTTAGTGACCAGTGTAAGTGATTCATAACTCTGAATTTAAAACTGTTTGGGTGTAGGACTGGCAATTTCACCCTATAAAAGTGTACTTGCTTTTGAAACCACAGAAGAAATTTATGAAAAAGTTAGCCAACACTTTATACATCATTGTTATTCAGTGAAGCAGTATTCTTTATTTACTAGTTATTTATATAATAAAGGATTTAATAAATGAGTACACAAAAACTTTCATTTAATCTAATAATTGAGAGATGAGAGTTCTTCTCCACTTTATATGAAGTATAAGGTGACAACCTTACCAATCTTGTGTTGCTTCTGTTGTTTCAATTGCAACTACACTTTGTATAGGATGAAATTGCCAGCCCTACACCCAACCAGTTTTGAATTCAGAATTATCAATCTCCTAACCAAGGCTAGTGAACACCATCTTCCTTACTATTTAACCCATGGCTAGAGGGAGAAGAAATGGATTCATATCTTTCCCAAGATTATTTATAAACAATTAAATAAAACAAACTCAGCTGCAATTTGAACTTGTCATGTTGGTCCCATTTTATGCAGCACAACCACTATACTATATCTACATCCATCTAATGATCTAACAGAGATGAAACAATAATTATAGTTGTATTTTAGTACCAGTTGTTCTTATCACTGCCGACTGACATTACCTATACTCTACTATTCCTCTACTTTAGTCAAGCAAAGTATTTCTGACAGTTTGGACAAAAATAGAAAATCAAGTTTTAAACTAAATTTTGTTTAAGAATTCAGTCTGTATTTTGAGCACTGAAAATCAATAAATATAAAGGGATGGTTTGTGGTCAGGAATTAATGCATGTGTTACAAACAAAATATTATAAATAGAGCAAACAGATTTATTAAAGAAAAGCATTAAAATCAATCAGTTAACACATTGACTGCCAGAGGCCAATTACAAAATGTGACTTCAAATGCCAACTTTACAATAGACAACTTAGGCAATAAAATTTTTATAAGTTGATTTCTAGCTTTAACTGAAGTCTTAACATTGTTTCCATACTAAAAGTATCACTGTGAATAAACTCATTGTTGGCACAGACAAATGAAAATGTATCAGAAAATGCTAAGCACAAGATAACTTATAGTTGGGCTCATAATAGAAACTGCCAAACATGAGTTATCTCTCATAGTTGGCAATTTGTGCAGGAATTAAAAGTGTACTTTTGCTTACAATCAGAAAGAGGCAGTAGAAATTTCTGTGATACCCAACAAGGAAAAGAAATCTGGAGAATTTAACACTCACAGGGTATATTGAAGGTAAGAGAATTAGGGTGTAACAGTGAGTAATTGACTTAATGAGCTTGTGTGAACAGATGGCAGAAAAATCATAAAGAGGGATGCTAAAGAGTCAAAAATTACTTAGAGTAACAAAAGAAAGGAAATTATGGAGAGTCATAATCAATCACATACTAAAAGGAGAGAGCACAAAAAAAGGAATTATTCTTGTGTAAAGAATAAGAGTAGGGAGGAATAAAAGAGCAGTTTTAAAAATTCATTCAAAATTACTTTTTTAACCAAAATGATGGGAGACAAGGTTTGAAAAAAGAGGTTAGAATAATCAGACAGATTGAAAAATGAGGTAAGTAAAATAAACAGGGAATGTTGAATAACAGTGGGTCGTTTGGGCAAAAAATTTAAATTTAAATAGTCAAGTAAGCCTGAGTATTCCAGACACAGCAGTAGATATTCAGAATTAGTGAAAGAAGCAAGACTGATGGAGATACTTAACTCTCAATAACAATCATATTTGTTAGCTAAGAAATAATAGAAAAATATTAAAATATTCCTAATCAGTATGTAAAAACTATCAGAAAAAGTAATGCAAACTTTGTGTGGTACAATTATATCACCTTTCATTTTTATATTTACATTCTCATACAATTTAAACTGCAAAACTCAAAGCTATCTTGCAAAATGCCAACTCTCAACACAAGAATATAATGTTGGAGCTCATTAAAGCAATTTGAAATATGAAATAAAAACAGATATATATATACATCCTCAGCAAGGCCCTTCGGGACTACGCTGAAGTTGTGGTTGGTCGGAATGTCAGGGTGTCTGATCTGGCCTACGCGGTCTTGGTCGGATCAAACTGTGACGATGTGCAAGCTGTGCTCAACTGTGTGCAAGCTGCAGCACGGGATATGGGTATGACCATCAATGCCTCGAAGAAAAAAGCTATGCCGTCCCTGGTTGATCCAGTCAACTGGCAGCAACTGGCACTGGACGGGGTCAATCAGGAGGACGTGCAGCCTTTCGTCTATCTCGGTTCAACAATTATACCATCCGGGCAGGCTGCTGCTGAGGTTGAATGCTGTATAGGAGCTGCAAGGTCTGCATTCGTGCGTCTCAAGCGATCACTATGGGGGCGAGGGGAGATTTCCATGGCTACGAAGGAGCGCATGTATCAGGCTATTGTTCGGACTATCCTTCTCTATGGCTGCGAAACGTGGCCACTTAGAGCGGTTGACCTACGAAGGCTTGAAGTGTTCGACAACGATTGCCTTCACTGCATTCTATGATGCCGCTGGATCGATCATGTGCCTGCAGCCACTCTACGTCGTCACCTGAGTCTCCGTCCTCTTCCACCTGTCCTAATCCAGCATCGTCTCCGATGGTTCAGGCATGCAGCTTGACGCCCGGAGGGTGAGCTCATCCGCGATGTACTTCTCCCTCCTTCTCTTCCAGGCTGGCGAAAACGCGTGGGTGGGCAGCTGAGGACATGGGCTAGCACAATCAAGGATGACCTAGCAGTACTATTTGGTCCACAAGTAGTTGGTCTTCGACGATAGAATCGTGATTGGCTCGCCATTTCGTGTGACCTGGCTCAGGATCGGTGAGCATGTGCAGCGATGGTCCATGATGCTGTACTTGCTCAGGAGGAAGCTGGTTCAACCCGACCAGAGTGAAAACTGATAAAAGTCAAGAAGATATATATATATATATATATATATATATATATATATATATATATATATATATATATATATTTAATCATTTCACCCCAAGCCAAGCAAGAAGGTCACTAAGATACATGAAGTTACTGAGTATGAAAGAATATGAGAAAAAAAAGACAATATTGAGGAGCAAGAACAATAAAAGAACAGGAAATAAAAATTAAAAAGTCATAAGATAACGATTGACATTTCATTTAATTTTTTGATAACCAAACTTGAGTGAAATGTAAGAAACCAGAATAGAGTTCGATAAGCGAGAAATGCAAGACCTGTTATCATAGACCTTACAGATACATCTAGCTGTTTCAACTTGAAAATGTTGAGATCTTGCCACCAATCTAGTACTTCACTTATATTCATAAAGTCTAGGTACCATAGAGGAAAGTTTATCAGAACAATTACAGTAAAAGCATTTATAGAAAAGTCACATGGAAGCTACATTACAGTGATTGAAGTCAAGGTGACAAGTCAGGACTAACAACATTGCTGATCCATCTAAATATATAGCTGGATCACCGGACCACATGTGAGAGAAATATTCTAAGCATGGTTGAATGGTAAACTTGTAAATATGTAATAGAGATTCAAGCAAGTAAAATTCTCTAGCACAACACAGAAAACCAATTTTCCTTTTAGCAGACCTAGATTCAATATAATCTTTTAACTTTATATCAGTGTAAAACATTAGACCAGTTGCCATCCAAGGCTATAGAACCCAGTCTGTCCTGCTATTTACCCATAGCTGGAGGTAGAAGAAGAGGATTTACACCTTTCCCAAGGGTATTAGCACATAAGTGAATGTAATGGATTCGACTGAAATTCACTCAGCTCTCCGATTCCTCAATCCAAGCTGCTACCCATTACTCCACCGTGCCTCCTATATATATATATATATATATATATATATATAAAAAGGAAAAAAGAGTGGGCAAAAGATGAATAGATTTTATATATAAATTTGAAGTTTTAATGAAAAAAAGAGAAAGAAAGAAATCATAAATTGCAATGAATAAGTAAAAGACAAAGAAATTAAGTGAATGATTTCAAAAAAGAAAGGGAATAATTGATTAGCAGTTGAATGAGTTAATAGTTTTTAAGTCTTCAATAAAAAATAATATTCAACTAATGAATCAGGAAATTGCTACAAACTGTTCTTGACTAATCTTACACATACATATACTTGAATGTGCAACTTATGATTGTGCTGTGCTAAACTAAAAAGTAAGGCAAAAAGTCAGTAGCTTCTAAATCCTATGTTGTTATCAAATTCACCCATCAACAGAGCCAAAACAATGTACCCTATTATTAATTCCATAGGATGTCTAGTTCCTTGTACTGTTCTTCAAACGACCATCCCAGCTTCAATAACAATTCATCACACTGCTTAACTCTTAAGATGGGATTTACTCAAACAGCATACAAATAAAATATGATGAAAAGACTCACCCATCTCAAGTAGTTCAGATACGATCAGATAAAAAAAAATAGGGAAAATTCAATTTTCTATGCATTTTGAAATTTAAACACTGTATACATTTTAAAAATAATTCTCAAGTGTCTGCATATTGTAAAATTTATTCTCCAGGAAAGAAAGAACAGAAATTTGTTTACTTTTGTCCAGAAAATGAAAATCTTTATTTACTTAACTGTTTTAATCTCCGTATCTGATCTCTGTTAAAAAAAAAATGGACAGCCAGATTTAATTTATTTTGTACTATATATAGAATAATGACATCATACTTTGGTCTACTTATTGTACTGAATCAGTTGCATGTTTTAAGGCCTCTTTTTTTTTTGACCAGATCTCATATATTGAATATATTTATACAGCTTTCTTTCTCATAAAATACCTTCAATAATATTTAATAAAGGTGAAAGAACACTTATCTATAGTTCAACGGTTAATGTGATAGTCTCCTAAATTATTTGTTGTAAGTTTATCCTCCAATAGCTTCTCACAACCTTTAATAGCGTTCAAAGTGAAAGCTGGATAAAGACAGACACACTGGGCCTGAAAGAGGATGAATAATAGAAGAAAAGAAAAAGTGTATGAGAACGGAGTGAAATTGAAAAGAGATAGAGAAGAAAGCTCTATTTAAGAATGAGCTTATAACAAAGAGAAATAAAAAGAAAAAAGAGAGATACTATAAAAGGGAAATAGAGAGAGAGTAAGAGAAAGAGTGACTGATGACACAAAGATCTATTTGAACTACTAGGAAAACTTGATTTATTCAGGAAAGATATTAGAATGATCCAGAATAACAGTGATCAAATTGCCTGCACATGAATAGAAAATGAATTGAGTAAGCACAACAAGGTAGAAATAAACATAAGACAAGGATATATCTTCTTACCAGATTTCTTTAACCTTTACAGCAAGGAGTTCTATCAGGATTTACTATTGGTGCGCATCATCTTAACAATATAAGATATGCAGATGACATCCTAGTAATGGTAAACACAGAAAGAAAACTGCCAGAATATCAAGACATGGCAGTAAAAGAAAGCAGAAAGAAAGGACTAACCATCAATTTTTAAGAAGGCAGAATTTATGGCTGTGAGAAACAGTTCAAGTTGCAAAATATGAATTGGAGATATCGAAATGAAGTAAGTACAGAAATGGGAAATGTTTTAAGAGATGAAAGGAAATGTGAAACAAAAATCCAAAGGTGCATTGGAATAGCAAAAGACAGCTTTCAATAGCTAAACAGTCTTAAGAAGCAGGAAAATTCCATTAGAAACAAAGAAAAAAAAAAGAGAGCTCAACTGCTATGTAATATCAATCCTCCCATATGGCAGTGAATGCTGGACAATATCCCCATAGAAGAGGAGATTTAAGGCAACAGATATGTACTTCTAAAGAAGAATGCTGAGAATGACATGAATGGAGCATGAGTGAATAATGAGGATGTTTTAAGAAAAATAGAAGCAAAAAGGTCAAAAAATCAGAAAGAGTTGAAATTTGTATGACACATAATGAAGAATGAGGGTTTGGTGAATTTAACACACACAGGACTTATTGAAAACATGAAAAGCAGATGAAAACAGCTAGTAGCCTATCTAACAAGTTTGTGTAAATGGGGTACCGAAAAGAGTAGAAGGGATAGTAAACAAACCAACATTACTAAGAGCCACAAAGTGTAGGAAGTTGTGGAGAGTTATGATTTGCCATCTCCTGAAGGGAGAGAGAACATTACAGAAAAAGTGAAAAAGTTTAAAAACTGCCAAGTAAAATAGAAAGAACATGGGGGGATAGATAGTAAAATAGACAAAGATAGAAATAGTGAAATAAAAAGGTATTTGATTGGAGAGAGACAAATAGAAAGTGAGGTTAATAAAGAAAGGAAGTAAGGTTGTAACAGAGAAACTGAGAAAGAGATAAGAACAGAATAATCTGAAAGTGAAATAGTGAGAGAGAGAAAAATAAATTGAAAGAGTCATTAACTTAAGGAAAGAAAAATGTTTGAGAAAGAGAGAGTAAAAATGAGAAAGAGTGAAAAAAGAAGAGGAAATGAGAGAGAGGAAGCAAAAGAAGAGAAATGGTGAAAAAAGAAAAACAAAAAATAAATGGTAAGAAAGATTAAGAGAAATAGAAAACAGACTAAAACAGAAAAACAAATCAAAGGAGAAACATTGAAAGTGAAAGAGAGTGTATATGTAAAAATCAGTTTCAAGGGAGAGAAGAAAGATGAAAAAAGCTAATTATTTATAGTCTTAAAGGGCCAAAGGGGATAAAAAGTGATATAGAAAAAGAGACAGAGAAAAAAGAAAAGTGAGAGAAAAAGAAAGCATGATTTTGAAAGAATAGATGAGGAAATGAGAGAAGTATAATTCAAGAGAAAAGAAAGACATAGACAAAAAAATCTTGTTCCAGAATATAGAGAATATAATGAACAGAAAGAAAATATGTTTCAAAGACAAAAAAAGATGACAAAGAATGGATAAATAAAAAAAAAAGAAACACATATATTGAGAGATAGCATTTCTGCAAAGGACTAAGTTTGAAAATATTGGAGAGTAGAGGACAAAGGTTTGAATAGCAGGATTAGTAGAAAGAAAAAACAAAGCAAGCAACAAAGAGAAAAAATGATAAGAAAAGTAAGTAAAAAATGATCAAGAAAAGACAGAAGATATTTTAATAAAAGAAAAATAATTTGCACAAGAGAGAAAGAGATGACAAAAATCTTGCCCACTACCCATAGGTCTGATGTGACAATAGATTCTATCTGACATTAAACTACAACTAAATTCTTGAAAAATCCATTCCTGACTATTATAGCATGACGGAAGTTGTGAGTCATTGGCAAGCATCAAGCATGGAGATGCCTTGATTCTTTGAAATTACTGAATACATCATTTTCTTTTCAGAATCTTGGAAAACCGGAAAATAATCATTTTCTATCAACTCTTTGAAAAATGGCAAGCACTGTTCAAGGAATTCTATTTTTTACTGTGCTTATATATTATTGCACCTTTTTTTTTTACCTTTACACCAATTTCATTCTCTTTTTCTCCTTCAATTATTTCTTATTCTCTGCCATTGCTCAATAGATTTATTTTATTCCTCATTTTTACTTCTCTTTCTATTTTTAGTAATTTATTCATTACTCTCTCTTACTCTTTTTTATTCTTCAGTTTTCATTTATTTATACATTGAATTTCTATATCTCTTTTATTTTCCTAACTCTGCTTATCTTTCTTTTTTAACTCATTCATTCATTAAATCTTTCCTTCTGTTTCCTTTATTGATACGTTAATCTCTTCTCTTTGTTATTATCTTTTTTTAATATTTAAACTATTGACTCATTCTGTCTCTAATCAATCCTTCCTTTTCCCTTATAAAATAATTCACTTAATCTCTTTGTCTCTTATGCATTGTCACTTTTGATCTCCTTTCTTCTTCTGTTTTCATCACCACTTCAAATTTATTCATAAAATTTACACCCCACTTTTGCATTTCTGTCTCTCCACTCTTGCACTAATTTTATACACCACTTATATATATATATATATATATATATATATGTGTGTGTGTGTGTGTATGCATACACAGCCACATATATGAATGGTCTTTGATAATGTCTCCTTTTTAATCACTTTCATCTAAAGAAAAGGTGTTGTCTTTAAGGGGATTTCATCCATCTTTATTTGAAATGAATTTTAATAATTATAAAAAAACAAATAAAAATTAATAAAATTCAAGGACATAAAAAGGTAAAGTAAGCAACTTCATTGGAAAAGAAGAAAGAAGAAAGAGAGATGAAAAAGAAAGAAACTGAGTAAAAAGCTTTAAAAATAAAAGATGAAAACACAAAACAGAAAAAAATTCAAATGAAAAGGAAAATAAAAAAATAAAATTATAAAACAAAATATCAAGAAAAAACAAAAACGCAAAATAAGCAAATAAGTTACATATATAAGATGAAGGAGGAATAAGTAATTAAAAATAATAACAATAAAAGGAAAGAAAAAACATAAATAAACATGAAAATACACAAAAATTAAAAGATAAACAAGGAAGAGAAAAAGATAAAATGAAACAAAAATAATCAAATAAAAACAAAATAAATAAGACAAAGAAAAATTAAGACAAATCAATTAAATAGAAATGAAAAATAATAATTCTCTTCAAAAATGGAAAAAAATAGTAAATGAATAATTTAAAATATTAAGCCCAAATGGACCAATAATAGACTTGACAATGTTTCATCTAAAGAAGGCTGGAAAATTAGGGGGCTGAAATATTTTCAAAGCAAAAAGATGAGGATAGACTAAAAAATTAGAGCAACAATAATAATGGCCATGGCAATGATAATGGTGATGATTGTAATACTACTAATGATGTTAATTATTCCAATCAGAAAGAAAAGATCAAAAAGAAACAAAACAAGTAAAAGTCATAGATTCTTAAAATCTAAATCAGAAAACTAAAGATAAATTATTACTAGATATTCATGAAATTACCAAAGAGAAATGCAATTAGTCAAGACACAGTAAAACCTAAAGATGTGAGATATTTAAAATATTGATGTTCATAATAAAACTTATAATAGTGATTTGTTTGATGCTATAAATACCAATGATCACTTGCTTGATGACACAAGCAATAATGATCTGTTTGATGATGTGAATGGCAATGTTGCCTTATTTGTTGATATAAACAATAACCTTTTTTTATATAATTATTGTAATACTGACATATATTATAGAGAAAAATAATCATGATGAATTGTTTGATGATACAAATGGCAATGATCATCTGTTTCATGATACAATGTAACTTTTTATACAATCATAATTTGAAGTTTGTTTTATGGCTTATCAACCCCTTTCTAGGCTATTTAAAGCCAAAAAATATCTTGGATTGTAAGAATAATTATTTTTTGTGAGTGAATATTGTAGTAACAATAATATTTTTTAAGAATAACAATCATTTTCCAGAGATGAGTCCTACTCTTTAACCCATAGCTGGGGGAAAGGGTATTTGCATGTAAGTGAATGTAACACACTTGACTAGAACTCAAACTCAGCTCTCCAATTTCTCAATCTGTGTTCTTATCTAATACACCACCTGCACATCCACAGCTTGTTTGTAGAAGCAAATAATCATGATGAATTGCTTGACGATACAAATGACAATAATGGCTTGTTTGATGATACAAAAAGTAATCCTTATTTGTGTGATTATCACACATTTCTATTACAGGAAGGTATTTTTTCATCATACAAATATTACTGATTATTTTTATGCTGTGGATGGAGATGATGATTGCAGTGAGAGTAATAATGAATAAAATGTAACTTATGAAAAAAGGACCACCAAAGAAGAAAATTAAAATGTTCATAAACTTGTCAAAACAGAAGAAAAATTAAAAAACCAAAGTGAAAAATGATAAAATGTCTTTAAAAAAAAAAGGAAAAGGCACAAAATTGATAAAAGTAAAATGATCCATCAATAAGAAATAATTACTGAATGTGGAATTCTAGAATGAAAGAAAGAAAACAATCATAAAAGAATAGAAAAAGCAATGAAAATAAAAATGAAGAAATGGAAAAATAAATGAAGCAAAGATTAATGAGAAAGAAATGTGAAATAACAATTAGGTAAAAAGGTAAATATTATTTACCAAATAAGATGAAAGTTGACTTAATGATGAGAGATAGTAATTAATATAAAAGAAAATGTCACAGAATGAGAAGAAAATGTTAGAAGAAGAAAATAATTAAGATGCCAGGAATGATGATGAAAATATCAATGATTGAAATAATATAAGACTATGATAATAGTAATAAGGAAAAGGATAATTATTATATTGATGATAATAATAATAATAATAATAATAATAATAATAATAATAATCATAATAATAAAGAAAATGATAATTATTATATTGATAATGATAATAGTAATGAGGAAAATAATAATTATTATATTGATAATAATAATGTTATTACTAATAAAGAAAATTATAAATCTTAGGTTACTAATTATACTCATGGGGATAATATCAATGACGTTTACGATGATGAAATTAGGAAACTGATATAAGCTTGTCATTACAACAATGATAATTTTGGTTATGAAAATAACATTGAAGATGGAAATGATATTTATAATAATAATAATAATAATAATAAAAAGAAGGATATCAATGATAATGATAGCAATAATGATGCTGAGGCTGATTAAATGACTGATAATGGAAAAGAAGAAGAAAAAGGAAGAAAACTATAAAAATCAAATGAATCAGTATGCAAACAATACAAAGATGTCTTTTTGAAAAAGACAGCGCCCTTTCAAGAGAAAAAGAAAAAGAAAAATTGGTGTTACTTTTTCTTTGCATGTTGTCACCTAAAATGTGCAAAGAACTTCAAAAACAATATGTGTGAACAGAAAAAGTTTTAATTAGAAATACAGAAAAATGTGGCTAAGTAATTTTTACATCCTTTATACGAAATATCAATTTTCAACACCAATCAGGTATTTGACTGCATTTTCATATCTGACACATTTCACTTTGAGATATGTCAGAATTCCAACTGATTCGCATGTCTTTGATGAGTGCAACTCTTATTTGACAAGGAGAAGATTTTATCAGCATCCAATCATTTAAAAACTGAATGTAAAAAGATTGTTCAAATCTTTTAATTTTGAAAAATTAAACTCCATTCTCTATATCATTACAGGAATCAATTTTTTATCTGATCAATTAAACTAAACTCATTAACTATATGTGGTCATTGGCATTCAGTTGTGACATTATTTAAATTCAAACTAAAAAGAGTCTTACTGTGTAAAATGGTTCTTCCTTTATGTGATATATCCTTTCAGGATGTGGGCAATCATGGCTCTCCACAACGTCCTATCCTTTATAGCTTTAAGTAATATTTGTCCTCTTCCTGTCTCTCCCATTTTCTGTCCTGCCATCCATTTAGACAAGTTTGTCAGGTAGGTTACTTACTGTTTCTTTTTACCTCTCTTGCCTTCAATATGTCTTGTGTGTGCCTAATTCTCCAAGTCCTCATTTCTCATGACATATCCCAGATATTTCAATTATCTCCTTCTGATTCTAAGTACAAGTGTCCTTTTTGTTAAAATTTTCTTTAAAATTTCCTTATTGTTCATATGTTCCATCCATGGTATTCTGAACACCCTTCTGTAAAAGTACATCTCTATTACTTAAAATATACTCTTCATCTGTAAAGAAATTGTCCAGCATTCACTGTCATATAGAGGGGTTGATATTTACATAGCAGGTCAGCACTTAATGGTTACCTTACACATAAAGAAAAAAGTAGTCATTCACATCAATCAATCTCAGACAAATATTTTCATTCTTATATTGGATCACTTTAAAAATATTTAGTTTAAGAAATACAAAAGATATGTTTTTGTTTAACTTCAAAATTAACTTTATTGAACAACATATTTAACTTTCTATGTACCATGTCCTTTTAGACCCTCCACAACTTCCTTACTTTTGTTGCATTCAGACTTCACTTTGTTTTGGGATATTTGTTCTACCATCCATTTTACTCAAACTTATCAAGTAGATTACCTGCTGCCTTCCCCTGCTCACCTTGCCATCTCTCCTCATCCTATCTAAAAAATCAGCATTCTCTGATTGTTACCAGCAGTTCTTTTATAGTTTCTATTCTGCTTAAAAATTCTTCATTTTTCACATGATGTGTCCTGTACAACTATATTTCGGTTGTTTCAATTATTTTTTTTTTTATTTGTAATAAACTTGTCCAGTATTCACTGCTGTATCAGATTTTAAACATTACATAACAGCCTAGTATATTTGTTTTGTTTCTACAGACATTTTTCAATTCTTTATTACCTTGCTCAATTTCCAAAAAGCAGTTTTTATTATTCTTATGGATCTTTGTTTTTTGTCTCCTACTTTTGATCATTTGTTACACTACAATCCAGACAGTTAAATTTTTGTACCTGTTTAATTTCCACCTCCCTGATAAAAAACATGCACTCTGGACTGTTCCATTTGCTCATAAACATGTATCTTATATTTTTAGTATTGTCAGATTATCAACCTTTTTGTCTTGCTTTCATTGACTACATTTTAGTTTTTCTTTTGGATTTTTCCTCAGTACAGTATAATATAATTGTTGCTTATTTTCTTTACTTTTAAGTGTTAAAATTAATAAAGAAAAATATACCAATGTTGACAGAATGTTTTTAAAATGCATGGATATGAGAGCTGTCAAAATACAATAAAAAATGATAATTTTGAAAGAAAATAATTTAAAGCTAAACACTCCTGATGCTATCTAAAGATAGATGTAGATTGAACATTTTGATCAACCCAATATAAGTATAAATAATAATTATTCACAAAGAAAATACTTGTTTTCAGAGTGCTGGTTTAAAATATCCCAGTAAAATGTATTCCTTTGTTGTTGTTTTTTAATTTTTGATTTTCATTAAATTTTTAAATATTTTTTTTTATTTTGGCCAATCAAAATAAACCCACATACGTTTTTAAAAAATCAATTCAAGGTAATAATGCCACTAAGATGCAAGAGGCTGATGCAAGTAAGTGAGAAGGAAAAGATTTTAGAAGGAACCAGAAACACAATTCGAAACAGGAATCAAGAGATATACCTCTACTCCTGTTCAAAAGGCTGGGAAGCAGTGCAAACTGGGTGATAGGTAAACCTATCTACTCCTAATGAAAGAAAAAAAAGGAAATAAATAGTAAATAAAATTTCAATGTTTAGGTGGAGTTGTTAGAAGTATAGAATTGAAATAAACTTTAGAAGGGACCGGAAACCCAATCCTGAACAGGAAACAAGGGATAATGCTCTACTCCTGTTCAAAAGACCAGAGAGAAATGTTAACCAGATGAAAAAATGTATAAACTATAACTGGTGTTGAGTCAGATATAATTTTCTCATAAAAACACATCTGCCATATTAGTCAGGTCTTGGTTGTGTAATGTTGCTCAAGTATAATCTATATATTTATAGACTTGTGTGGTACATTTCTAACTATCAACCTTTAAATATTTCCAACATTCCCTAAAAAATAATTCATCTAGTCAAAAGCAAATTTATTACTCACAGATCTATTTATGGTTTATAGTAACCAATTTATATATGATATGCATAACATTTTTATTATTCCTAAAACATTGCTTTATATTAAAGTATCACCCTATTCCCCCAAAAAATGTATTAGTTCTGTTATCACATTTTACCTTTCCAACCAAGGACCAGTAAATGATTACACTGAGATGGATAAAGCCAGTTTATGCAACTGAATAGCAACAAATAATCGTCAAAGATAAGTTTTTACTGACACAATTTGTAGACCATTTATAAGAATGCCAAAGACAAAACAAGTGACTAATGAGGAATTCTTAAGAAAAATAGGAAGCTTATACTTACAACCAAAAAGAGACAGTTGAAATTTCTAAAACACATAATGAGGAAAGAGAGCCTAGAGAATTTAACACTCACAGGACATACTGAGGATCATTTACAAGTTTTACTCTATACTGTAAGCAACAGATGTTCTCTTTCTTTATGCAGTATAGATGATGAAAATTGAAGTGTTAGCTTATGAGATACAAATGTTTTGAAAACATGCTTTGTACAATATTACATCAAAGATGGCCAAATTGTCATCTGTTGAATTTTCCTTCATGTACTTTATTGAAGGTTTTATTAAGTTTATAAAGTCCAGGTCTACTTGCACTTCTTTCTATTAAGAACACAGTATGAAGATGTTATCTCTGTATATCTGTCAGATGGCTGAGAGAGATATCATCTATGTTGGAAAAGTGGATGTCGCTGACATTTTTTAAATAAATAATAGAGAAAAAACATTGAAAATAAAATAATTTAACGAATCATTGAGTATACCTTCTCAGTAGGCCAAGCATAGAAATGAATACAATGTATGGCTGGCTGCTCCTTTCCAAGTATGCTTGTCTGCTAGGTTGACTAGCTAACTCTTGTTACAAATGATCTGCTTAGTTACATTTGTATATGTTCAACATTCACACAACCTACCTGTGATTTTATACTGCAACTATGTTGAGCAGTTATAGTTCCTAGGAGGCATTGCATTATTTACTGGGATAATCAGTTTGAACAAAGCCAATACACTCACAACTCGGTCATGATAAGTTTGTGCCAATTGATGGCTTCCAAACAAATTTGTTTACACAATTTCACTCACTTAGGTCAACCAATAGTATGGTTTTCAGGCATTTCTAAATAATACCACACAGTGTGATCATCTCCCCATGCCGATATTTTTAAGAAGTCACTGCTTTGACAAATTGGCTGTGATGAGATTCAAATCCAGATCTCAGGGTTGGAATACTAACTTTCTAACCACTTAGCTATGCACTCAGTAATGATCACCATATGAAAGACATTAATTAAGGAAGAACACATAGTAAGATTAACACTTCAAAATTCCCTTTATTTGTTTTTTCTACAGACCAATAGAATAGTGGATATGTGTATGAAGTGACCTGATGATTAGAAGTCCCATCACTGAGGTGACTACTTATCCACTGTCAAATAATCTGGTTAAAAAGGAAAAGCAAAAACCACATCGAATTAAAAGAATTAACTAATTCTTATTTTTAGTGTGGTGCAATCATTAGCAGAAGGTGGGATAGAGGGTGGGATGGTCCTAAGCATTCATATTAGAAGGTGGGATAGAGGGTGGGATGGTCCTAAGCATTCATATTAGAAGGTAGGATAGAGGGTGGGATGGTCCTAAGCATTCATATTAGAAGGGCATCCAATCAAAGATTGTAATAAAAATTTACTTCATATTTCATTTGAATAAAGTGTTTAATTTTTCATCTGTTTTTACATATTTAAATTGTCTTTCCTTTTTCTCAGCCTCGTTACTTGAGTCTTGGGGGGGGGGCATACAATCAAGGAGTTGGTCCTGGACATCACCAAACATCACCAAAGCTTGGCAAGACACTGGGTACAAAAGTTCCCATAAAGTATAGGTTAGTTTTGAAATTCCTGGACTTTTACCAAATATCACATGTACCTAAAGAAAGTCGGAGTGCACATCTAACAAAATAAGATGACGATATTCAGTCATCCCCCCACGAGGGTGTCATGTGGCACAAGGCTTTTTTAACGTGGGCATTCCCGAGCCATTAGGCTCGGCCAAAAAATAGCCCATTTGAACCCGTATAAACGGGTTCAGGGCCGGTTTTGCCTCCCCGAAGATGACTCCGCCCTTCGGCGTAGCCTCCTTCAGGTTCCTCCCGCCCGTAGGAAGAGAGTACAACCAAGCAGTCACTCAGAAAGTGAACGACTGACAAAATAAGATGACAAGAACATCAAAGATTAGAACATCAGTCTAAACAGATTAATCTCTACTAAAACATATTCCTCCCCATTCTTTTGAACAGGAGTAGAGGTTTATCCTTTATTTCCTGTTTAGGATTGGGTTTCTAGTTCCTTTTAAAGTCTACTTCAGCTCTATGTAGCTAACACTTATCATTTCTTACACTAATACAACTCCACACCATAACCCTCTGCCTTGAGTGGCTCTTGGGCCTTGTATTGCATAAACATTAGTAAAAAAAAAAGTAATTGTTTTGCAATCAGTGCAAAGAATGATGTTAGTTAATAAAAAGTAGATTCAATCTGAAAAGAACGGCAGCACAAGAAAGAATATTCATTACCAAAAAATCTTGTCTTCTGGGATTTGCATGAAAACTAAGAATATCTTTTCTTTTGTGTACATATATATATATATATATATATTTTAGCAGCTGATGTCAATAATGACCTTCAGTCTGTTGTTAACTGGAGCAAAGTATGGCTTCTTAATTTTAATGCCTCCAAAACAAAACTGTTCTCTATTAATCATCAAAGGAGAAATCCTTTACTGCCTTTCATTAGCATGGTTGATGCTAACCTTACAGGATAATGACTCATTGTACCTTCTCAGGTTTATGTTATTGGATGACATGAAGTGGAAAGACTATATTGACTCCATTGCTAGATCAGCTGCTAACAAAGTTGGTTCAATGTGCAAGAGATTTTTCTCTCCAGAATCTATCTTACATATCTACAAGTCAACCATTCGACCATGCTTAGTATATTGCTGCCACATATGGTTTGGTGCTCCTGCTATATATTTAGAGATTCTTGATAAAATGCAAAGAAGAATCTTCAATATTATTAGTCATGATCTGGTGTATTGATTTCAGTCACTTTCCCACCACCATAAAGTTGCCTCCTGTGCCTTTCCTATAAATATTTTCATGATAATTGTTCTGATGAGCTCTTCACCATGGGGCCTAGACTTTTTCATTTATACTCAGTACTAGAGGTCTCATCAATTTACACTTGAGTTGGCTAGATGTAACCGTAAGTTCTAGGTTAACTGTTTCTTTTCTCACACTTCTCATTTGTGGAATTCCCTTCTGGTTCCATGCTTTCCAGCCAATTTTAATCTATAAAATTTAAATGCAATGTCAATCACAATCTACTGTTTTCTTGATTACTGTTCTTTTGTTCTTGATCTTTAGTAATGTTTCTGTTTTCTAATTCAGCCACACTCAGTAACCACTTGTCTTGGTGGCTTTACTGCCTGGCTTGGGATGAACTCAATTAATATATATATATATATATATGAAAATTTCTCCGATTTAACCAGTAGAGAAGACAATATTTATGAATAAAATTGATAATAGGAAAACTGGTAATTGCTGACGTCTTTTGTCCAATGTGGACTTTATCAAAGCAAAATACGAAAACGAACATATTTTGCTTTGGACGAAACACGTCAGCAATTACCAGTTTTCCTATTGTCATTTTTATTCATATATATATATATATATATATATATATATATATGAAGGATATCTTTTTGTATTTACAATAGAAACATGTGAATTATCTTGTATCTTTAAACTGAAAAATTTTACATCAGAATTTCCACCAATTCTGTTATTAATATAGAATATATTGAAATGAAGAAACAAATGATGTAAAAACTGACTTTGGAGAAGAAAAGGAAAGAGATATGATGGATAAAAGAGAGACAGAAGGATATAAGCAAATTAGTAAAAGAGAAAAAAACATTTGAAAAGAAAAGAATGAAGGTGAAAATAAAGGAATAGAAAGAAAAAAAGGAAAAAATCAAGTAATTTTTTCACTTTTCATTTTCTTTATTTTTTCCTTTTTTAAATAAAAATAGAAATAGATGAAAAATAAAAGTAAAATATAAAAATAAATAAATAAAAATCAAAGAAAGTGTGAAGAGAGTAGAAGAAAAATGTTTGAATGAAAGAAGCAAAAAAGAAAAGATCATGTTAAAGCAAATGAAAAAGTATTAAATTCATTTGTTGCATTTTTCATAATAGCATTGAAAAGGGACAAATAAGTAAAAAAACAGTGAAGAAGAAGAAGATAATGATGATGAAGATGATGAAGATGATGATGATGATGATGAAGAATGAAAAATATCAAAGCAGAATCATATTTTATTCTTGTTGACAGGCCAGGCTGCTTGTCTGTCTGTTCCATACAGTTATTATTCTAGCAGAACTCTTTGATTCAGGAGGTAGGATAGGAATCTTCCTTCAGGGAATGGTAAATTGTTAAATTCATTTCTTTTCTAAGTGCAGTTTATTGAACCTCATTAGGATTAAAAAAAAAAAAAGAATCTGATGAAAAAGACTACAGGAGGTTAGAAGCTATAACATTTCAAGGTATATCACAAAAAGAATTCATCTTGACTGAAGGAGACATATAATTTACATTCATAGAAGAGAAATAAAACAAAATAATGAAGTCGTGTTGAAGTAATTGGCCAGATGATATTATATCATGTAATGGTAGAATTTTAAAATTTGGTTTGATCTAATATGGAAAAGTATTTTTTTATCAATCTCTACAAACCCCTAAAACCCTTAAAACTACAGGAAATTTTAAATGTAATCTTATTGAGACAGCCTATTTGAAATTACAGGAATGTTGCACTCCAGAGGGCTTCTGTATTAAAAGATGCCTAAATAACTTTGTATATCTTTAAATCAGTCATCAGAGAGAAACATGGTCATTGGGTTATCAAGAAAAGAACTTTCTTTTTCTAGATATTTCAAATATTAATATAAAAGATAACTTCTTTTTCTTTTTTAAATAAAGTTAATCCCATACAAGTCTCAATAGCCACTGAAGGCTGAATGAGGTTATGTGATATGAATGTGAAATGGAGAAGAAAGAAGTGAAGATTATGAGGATATAGCAGATAGTTATATCCTCATAATCTTCACTTCCTACTTCCCCCTTTTACATTGACCCTTGACTTAACCATAGACTTGACCTTAGACTTGACCTCCTTTTCCTTGACCCTAGACTTAAAAAAGCTTAAGGTTGTAGTGTTCTAGGAAGTACCCACATGGTTGTCTGGTTGTCAGTTCCACAAAGTTGCTTTTGGGAAGAAGCTTTAAACATGTGATTCCCTTCATACTTTCAAATCAGGTTGATTCAACCCTACAAGTGTAGCTAGGTGGGTGTTGAATGTAAACCTTTGAATTGGTAGCACTAAAAAATGAAGAACCTTCAAAAATTTGACATGGAAGTATCAATAGTGTAGCAATAGGTTAGCAATATGTGTGGGGAAAGAGGCTGTAGGGCGGAAAATATGTCATTTCCCACAAGGCCATGAAAATGATTTTGAAATTTGTCAAGGGTTGAAAGTGACAATTCAACAACTTCAAACCAGATATAGCAGAAATTCTCCATTTTTGGTGTAATATCACTCTTGTAAAGATAAAGCATGGGCAGAATGAGCATGGTACTTTTTAGACTGGGCTGAAACAGCTCCAGCAAAATTATAAAAGGAATACTCCATTTTCAGTTTAACCTGATTTTTGTAATGATAAAGTTAGGTAATTTCTGCAATAATACAAGGAACCAACCATTTTTCTAGCATCTTTAGTGATTTAGTGTGTAAGTGTTTCAACCTGCAATGAACTTGAGTGGTTCAAAGCAATGTGTGGTTTTGTGAGTACAACCATGCATCATGACTGGAATAAATTCAGATTCTGCATGGTGATGATGAAACATTATTCTTTCAGTTTTGGAGGAACAGAAAGTTACAAGCCAGTTTTTCACCCAATGAGCTGTTCAAACTAGGTCAGCTTTAGAATTATATAAGTCAGGTCAATGATTTTATTAGCTACTTTTAACAATCAAGTGAATCCTTAAAGCCATGACACTAGCATAAGCAAGAATTAAACCCTACTCTTTTTACCAGTGTTCTTTCATTTTATCAATATCATATTTTGAATGAAACAATGTTCTCCTTCTTCTGTACAATATTGATTTTAAATGGTCATTGATTTCTGTGCTTTATTAATTATTCAATAAAAAAAGAAAAAATTCTTTACTAAAATACTTATATATATTCCATAAAGTGAAAAGTGAGTAAAACTTTTGAATGTTACTATTTTACAAAGGCAAAAAAACCTGATAATTTTCTTCAGTCAAATGAATTTAGTATGTAATGAAATGAAATGATTTAAAAAATGCAGAAAATAAAAAAATTGTATGAAATATTAAAATGATGATAAATAACCAATTTGTAGGCATTTACTAATTCTAGATATCAACCAAAGCTCTCATCAATCAGTGGCAAAATTATTTTTATTTCATTTTATATCATTCATTTTATAGCTACTCAAAAATTATTAAAGGCAATATTTAGCATGTTGCATGCTAGTCTCACAAACCAGTCACTATAACAATTTTTCTCATGATTGTGACTTTGTGTTAAAGTTGATGAAATCCAACAAGTCTGATCTCACAATCCATTAATAGTGAATTTGTTTTTCGTTAGGCACTCCATGAAAGTGGCCTTTTCTCAATATTTTTGTAATATTTCTTAGGCAATGAAAGAACAACTAATTACATTTTCCTATTAAACAAATAAAAAAAAGCAAGTGAATTTGTCTAAGAACCTATGATTTCTGTCAAGCCTAGAAATGTATATTTGTGTGGGATGTATATGAGTATGAGTGAGTGGGTACAGAGAGAGAGAGAGAGAGAGATTGAGATGTGCAAGCACACACATTTGTACATATACACACACATGCACACATAAAACTTGGTTGGGTTGATTATCGAATCCATTTCTACTGAGTTCTTCCATAAAACACTGATGTAAAAGAAAACATAAACAAGTACATTTCTTCTCCAGTCAAATATGGATAATTTGGCAACCTGTATCTGATTGAATGGAAAGTTCTCTCGGTATGGAAGATGACCTGACATAATGTTATTCAGCATGCACTAAATTTTAACATTATAACATGTATAAAATGGAAAGAAAAGTACACTTATATGTAGCATCAAAATAAAATAAAGAAATTTCTATGGCACATAATGAGGAAAGAGGGCTTGGAAAAGTTGACACTCACAGGGCATATTGAATGCAAAACAGTCAGAGGAAATTAGTGAATAACCTAACAAATGAACTTGAGTAATAGATTGGGAAAGCAAAAAAGAAAAAAAAATTGCTAAGAGTTCCAAGGTACTGGAAGTTGTGGAGAGTTATGATGTTCTGAAGGGACACTGCACATTATTATCCAATTTATGTTTTAATGAGTTTTGAAATAAACACTAATTGAAATCTAAAGGTTTATATGCTGAATGATGATAACCTATATTTATGCAGTTACAATGCAATTTCTGCACATATATAAACTAACAGTAGCCATTTGTATAAAATGTCCTGAATTTTAAAGGCTCAAATTAAAAGCCACATTGTGAGTTTTAAGCTTTAAGATAGGGACTACTGAATTGTTTAGAAGTTGATTGAAGATCCCGAGCAGTTCTGATCCACATCAGAACTGTTGATATATATCCCAGTAGAAATTGTACAAATCCATTTTTGGAAAGCTATGAAATTTCTGAGCACTGAGGTAGCACAAGATATTGAATCCAAAGTTAAATGGTAAAACATGCAAGACCAGTCATTGGACCCCCTTTAAAAGACATCCATAAGGAAAATGGGTTGAAATGAGTAATAGAATAAATCATGACCAACTTTCCAAGAGTTCTATTTACTGAAGAATGCTGTACTACCCTTGATAGAGACAATTAAACAAAATTTGAGTGGAGCGAAGATCTGCAATGGGATTTGTGAGAATCATTATACAAATGATTACGAGATAATAGGGAGCAGATCACTCAGTGCTCACAAGCACACTCAAGTGAAGGCCAGAAGAATTCACTATGGCAAGAATAACTCCTAGCTCTAGACAGCAGATTAACTTTTAATAAAAATAATAAGAATCAAATCTATTAACATAACACTGGCTTTACTACAACCATATTTCTAAGCCAACCAAATTAAAGCATGTAAATTTTATTGACCAATCATAAGCCTGATAATAAAAATTCAACTACAAACCCTTTCCATGGTCACTTCTGAGCACATGAAAACATATAAAAGAAGAAAAACAAATTGCAATTAATCAGTTGCTTCCTATAGGAGAAACAGCTGCAGATTCACTCAGACTCAAGTACACTTCTTTTGCCTTCTTGCTTTTTTGCATGAAGTTCAAAAACTTCCTATACAAAACTTTCAAATACCTTTCCATGGAATCTGAACATTTTATTGAGAATATTTTATACATGTTATTCTAAATTATAAGCTTCTAACAATTTCATACCTTCATTTCAGTCTTGTATGATCATTGAATTTAAGCAATGTCAAACCTTGTCAGTACCCTGATGGGTGACTGCTTGGGGATACCAGGTGCAGTAAGTTTGAATACGCAGGTGGTGTAATGGATAATGGCTCGGAATTGTTAATCACAGAACTGAATTCCAATTGCTGTTGGGTTTGTTATATTCACTTACATGCAAATATCATTAAGAATAGTTTGAATCCATCACTTCTCCCCCCAGCTATGGGTTAATTAGTAGGCCTTGTATCACTAACCCATTATTATCTCAAAAAAAATTCTTACAATATTTTCTGGCAATGTGTTGATAAACAGAAGAAAACAAATCAATCAATCAGTCATTCATTTCAAGGAACATTCTCTCTTTGTCATCATTAAAAGTAAAAT